GCCTACATGACAGAATTCCCCCGCAGTCTGGTCCAAATCACTGCTGTTTGACACTGAGCACCCATCTACACCTACCCCTCCAGGCCCACAGGATCTGGATCTCCTCCAGCCTTTGCTGACAGCCGCCCCTCTGGCTCCAGGACCCACTCCCTTTTCACTGCAAGGCCTGGACTTCGGCTGGGCTCTCTGCCTGGAGCCCTTCGTTGTCCCAGGAGTGATGAGTTTCATGTCAGTTTCCCTGCTAGACCATGAAGACGGGCACCTCACCCGTCTGCTTTGCCACGGCGCCCCTGGCTCCCAGCAGGTGCCTGGTGTGTACTGAGTACTCACGAATAGGTGTGTGAAGAAAGAGCCCGTTCTCACCGCTGAGGACGTGCAGGCACCAGGGAGATGCAGAATGAGCGCGCCGCTTTCATGGTTGTCATCATAGCTGTGTACTTAATCTGCACCGGTGACCTCAAGGGGCGGGTACAATTATTCTCTCCATTTCACAGAGGAAGAGACTGAGGCACAGAGAGGTTAAGTACCTTGCTCGATGCAGGCGATTGATTCTAGAGCAACTGCTAGCGATCCCCATGCTACAGTGCCTCTCTGCTATTGCGTGGCTCCCCCGTGCCTTCCCGTCCAGACTGCATCTTGTTTTAGGACAGAGCAGGTCATCTGCTTCCTGGGTATTTCCCCCAGCCCAGAGCAGCCTACGCTCTCAGTAAGCACCAGTCAACAAGTGCACACCGTTCCCCCCAAAGAAGCCATAGCCTGGTGTTCGCGGGATTGCACTCTCTCAAAAACAAGCCAGACAGTGAGGAGGAAATGCAGATCACGGGGGAACCAGGGGACTGTCCAAGACACGTGAGGGGACTCTTCACTTTCCTTCAGAGCTCGCTCTCTGCAAATCTGAAATCAAAAAGAAAGAAGTTGCAGGGCGTCTGGGCGGCTCAGTCGGTTGAGCATCAGACTGTTGGTTTCAGCTCAGGTCATGATCCCACGGCTCATGGGTTCGAGCCCCACATCTGGCTCTGCTCTGACAGCAAGAAGCCTGCTTAAGATTCTCTCTCTTACGATGCAAATAACCATGAACTCCACGAAGAGCATCCTGAACAAAGATAAGGGTTATTCTGTTCACCCAAGAGGAACTCTAGAATTGGATGCTTTTGGCGTGGGTTCAACACGTAAAGCATCAGGGACAGCATTTCTGTGATTCTCTTCGCCTCTCCTTCGGGCCTCAAAATGGCTGCTGAGGGTCCAAGAACACATTCACGGTCAAGGCACAGAGGCGGGAGGAGGCGGGGCAGCACCAAAGATATCTGTTCCTTTTATGCAGAAGTGAAAGCTTTCCACAAAATCTTCCAGAGGGCTTTGGTGTAGGAGCCACCTATAACTGGGAAGGGCCCCAGGAAAGTAAGCATTCTGCCTCACCACCTTATGTATCAGGGGAGGGGGCTGGGAATGAGGTCAGCTGAGGTTTCCCCAAAAGCAGAGACTGAGATGAAGGTTTGGGTGCAAGTAGCTTATTCAGAAGGTGATCCCGGGAAGTATGGTGAGGGAGGGGGGAAGTGAGACTGAGAGGGAAGCTGAATCAGGGGGCTGTTTATGAGCAAGTTACCACTTGGAGCAACTGAGGCTCGATCCCACCAGAAACCAACCCCATGAGAGGCTGTGCGCGATGTGCTTCAGGACACATTCCCCCCACCTTCCAAACATCCAGCTTGGGGAGGCCAGGTCAAGGGTTACCCCATGGTGCTAACTCCGTGGCATTCTCACGTTGCATGCTTACAGCAAGATCTCTGATGCCAAAGAAAGCTCAAAGGCCAGGAAGAAAAGAGAGGAGAGCACTGTAGGCATTCCAGAAACAGCCCACGGCAGGCAGGCTGAGGGCACACAGAGATGGACATCGATAGTGCCTGCTGGGGGCGCCTGGCCAGCTGAGTCAGAACATGTGACTTTTTTTTCTTTTAACTTTATTTATTTATTTTGAGAAAGTGAGCACAAATGAGGGAGGAGCAGAGAGAGACGGGGAGGGAGAGAATCCCAAGGAGGCTCCACACCACCAGTACAGAACCCAACGCGGGGCTCGAACCAATGAACTGTGATGATATGACCTGAGCCGAAGTCAGATGCTTAACCGACTGAGACACCCAGGTGCCCCAGAAGAGCATGTGACTCTTGATCTCAGGGGTGTGAGTTCGAGCCCCATGTTGGGTGTAGAGATAAATAAATAAGTAACATGAGGCATCTGGGTGGTTCAGTCAGTTAAGCCTCCAACTTCGGCTCAGGTCATGATCTCGAGGTTTGAGTTAGATCCTTTGTTGGACTCTGTGCTGACAGCTCAGAGCCTGGAGCCTGCTTCGGATTCTGTCTCCCTCTCTCACTGCCCTTCCCCCATTCTCACTCCGTGTCTCTCAAAAATAAATAAATATTTCTTTAAAAAATTTTTTAAATAAGATAAATAACTAAACTTAAAAAAACTAGTGCCTAGGGTGCCTGGGTGGCTCAGTCAGTTGAGCCTCCGACGTCGGCTCAGGTCATGACCTCACGGTTCGTGGGTTCGAGCCCCGCGTCAGGCTCTGTGCCAACAGCTAGCTCAGAGCCTGGAGCCTGTTTCGGATTCTGTGACTCCCTCTCTCTCTGACCCTCCCCTGCTCACCCTGTCTGTATCTCTCTCTTAAAAATAAAAAATAAAAATAAAAATAAAAATAAAACTAGTGCCTGCTATGGCCAACATTCATTGCCGGAGTGACAAAGGGGAAGTCTCCCGCTGTCCCTCTTTAACTCAACCCCTCAGGGCCCCCTCCTATCAGCCTTCTCCCTACTGGCTCCTTCTCCACCCATGTATCCACGTATCCACGTGTCCACATATTCACGCTCTCCCCTACCCCGCCTATCCTCAGGCCCTCTGGCACTCCCAAAAGAATGTGATGAGCTAAGTTACACCGATTTTTTATTGATATATCAATAACAGTAACACATATATGGTTCCTTGGAGTTCACCATGAACTTGCACGTGCATTATTTTGTTTAAAACTCACAACATTACTTTAGAGGGGGATCTGGGGCTCAGAGAAGTTAAGCAATGTGTCCAGGGATACTCAGTTAGTAAACCGCCCAAACCGAGTACCTTCTGAATGCTAATACTCCAGGGCTCTTGGGCGGCTCCGTCAGTGAAGTGTCTCTTGACTTAGGCTCAGGTCATGATCTCACAGTTTGTGGGATCGAGCCCCTTTTTGAGCTCTGTGCTGACAGTGGAGCCTGCTTGGGATTCTCTCCCTCTCTCTCTCTGCCCCTCCCCCTCCCCTCAAAATACATAAATAAATAGCTTTACATGCTAATGCTCCAAATATCAAGCTATATCCCTACCTCCCCACGATGCCTCCTGGTTTCTTGTCATCGGTAGGCACTCAATAAATGTTTATGTTGAATGGGCTTTTTCACCAAAAAAAGAAAAATTGCTAATTGTGGAAACTGTCAACGTCAAAGAGTCTGTTGGGAAATGGGTTCTAGAAGAAAATCCAAACTCCTTATCCTGGCCAACATGGCCCACAGGATCTGGTACTTGAGCAACTTCCCTCTCATCCCGTCTCTGTCTTCCTGTGTACCCGTCCTCACCGCCGCATGCCACACCCTTCATTAGTCATCCTCTTGTTCCCTGAACAGGCCAAGCTGTTTCCTGCCTGGGAGCCCTGTTTCTGCTGTTCCCTCTGCCTAAAATACCCTTCCCTTTTCTGTCACTATCAGCTCTGACTCACCCTGAAGCTCTCAGGTTAACTGTCGCCTCTTGTCAAGATATGAGTTCTCCCTGTAGGTGCCTGGGTGGCTCAGTCGGTGAAGCGTCCAACTCTTGATTCCAGCTCCGGTCGTGATCTCACAGGTTCGTGGGATCAAGCCCCGAGTCGGGCTCCCCTCTGACAGCACAGAACCTGCTTGGGATTCTCTCTCTCTCCCTCGCTCTCTGCCCCTCCCCCGCTCTCTCTCGCTCACAGAATAAATAAATACACTTAAAACAAAAGAAAAAAGGTAAGAGTGCTTCCCCCAAATCCATTATTCCCTTCTCCCTTGATAAGTAACTTGCAATTTTTGGCTGAGCAGATGGTTTGCCAGAATAAGGTCTCCATTTCCCAAGTAGATGTGACCATGTGACAAAGTTCTGGCCCATAGGGTGTAACATGAAGGGGTGCATACAATTTCCATTAAGGGTCCTTAACCCTTCCTTGTTGCTTCCTCTTCTCTGCAGGCTGGAATGGGTACCGGGGCCAGTTTGCAAGCCGCACAGGAAAGGCTCACTCACATCCAACATGGCACCAGAGTCACAGAGGAGCTACAGGTCAAGGACGCCTGGAGGCCAGTAGCGTTCGAGCCTGGAAAATAGAGCTCTAAAGACCTCCCCCATCCCGGAGATGGGCAGCCACGGCAGCTCTAAAAAGGTCAGCAGTAAATGCATTGAGAGGAGAGGGTACAGCACACTGTATTTCGAAAGTGGCCCCCGCGGTATTTATGATCTCATGCGCTCTTCCAGAACCACCTTGCCGTCCCCCATCAAGAGACGGTGAGTCTTGGGGCGCCTGGGTGGCTTAGTCGGTTAAGCGTCCGACTTTCGCTTAGGTCATGATCTCGCGGTTCGTGGGTTTGAGCCCCGCGTCGGGCTCTGTGCTGACAGCCAGCTCAGAGCCTGGAGCCTGTTTCGGAGTCTGTGACTCCCTCTCTCTCTGACACTCCCCTGTTCACGCTGTCTCTCTCTCTCCTAGAAATAAATAAAACATTAAAAAAAAATTAAAAAAAAAAAAGAGAGACGGTGAGTCTATTTCTCTCTCCTCTTGAAGTCTGGGCAGGACGTTGGGACCATCTTGACAAACGGAATGCGATAAAATTGATGCCATGTGATTTCTTAGGACTGGATCGTGAAGGGCAGATTGGCTTCTCTCTCTTTCTGTCCCTCTACTCCCCCATCTCTCCCTTCCTTGCCCTTCTTTTTCCCTCGTTTTTATTTATTTATTTTCTTCTTTTTTTTAATGTGTATTTGTTTTTGAGAGAGAGAGAGAGAGCATCAGCAGGCAAGGGGCAGAGAGAGAAGACAGAACTCGAAGCGGGCTCGAGGCTCCGCGCCATCGGCACCAAGCCCCACGTGGGGTTCGAACCCATGAAGCCGTGAGATCATGACCTGAGCCGAAACCAGGAGCCGGAAGCTTAACCTGCTGAGCCAGCCAGGTGCCCCATCCCCCTCTTTCCCTCTTTCCCTCTCTCTCTCTTCCTCTCTCTGTCCCTCCCCCTACTCCACCTCTCTCCCCCACCCAGCCCCCACCCTTGTTTTGAGTCTTGCGGCGGCTTGGTGTGCAGCTAGAGATAGACTCCCCGAAGGGCGGAAGTCAGGGGCCCCCTTCTCATGCCACGCCCCTGCTCAGCCCCTGGGGAGAAGGGAAGAAGGAGGTGGGTGTGACAAGAGTCGAGTCCACCCAGAAAGGGGACTACCTTTAAACTAGGACTTGAGGTGGCTTGAACTTAAGGGCCAAGGCAATTTCAGTTTCAGGAAAATAAAGAGCATTAGTCTTTGCCTACCAGACTTTGTGACCAAGCACACATTCCTACCCGCTCTACAGCTGGGGGGGCTGGGACCTGTCCTGCCACAGCCCTGATCCTAGCCCGTGAGCAGGCACTCACATACACAAAGACTAAGCCTGCCCCGGCCTTTGCAGCAGGAACTCATGATCGAGGAGAATAAAGTCACCGGCCCTGGAATCCAGGAGGTCTCGGCCACACCCCGAGCCCCGTCCCAGGCCTTCTGGCAATGAGGGAGCAGGGGACGCATCAGTGCGCTGTGGAGAGCCCCGACCTGCTCGGGTGTGGGGAGGGGGGCACACGCCAAGGAGCTGCTCAGAGGGTCACATGCTGGCCTAGTCGCTTTGTGGACAATCCAGACAGAAGGCAGCGGCCGATGGGCCAGATGTGCCTCCAGGCATCCCCAGCCTTCCAATTCTGAGACAGATGTTTTATGACTCAAGAGTTTTGGGAAAGCAATCTTGCTTCAAATATTCCTCTTGTAATCGACATCTGAAGTTTTTTACAAAATAGGCGCTTGGTTTTTTTAACTTGAAAATACCTGAAACAGCTCTCGGTCCCCAAACATGTCTTGGGAACTCTTTGGCTCAGTCCACGTACAGACTGAGCAGGACTATTTTTTTTTCCCCGCCTCGAACAAATTAGGTGCATGGTCTCAGGAATAACACATGGTTGCCATTAACGCTCGTGATGCTTGGGGTTTGGTGTAAACCCACATTTTATCCATTGAACTATTTCTTTTTTCCAAAATAGTGAAAAGAACTGAAAAACACAAAAGCAATTACATGATTTAACTTTCCATCTCTGTCAAGCCGTGATTAAAAGTGGAAAATAATACTAGCGCTTAGGTTTCTTGCTGGGAAGGCAAAAGGAAATGTGTTAACAATGGTTGTTTTTTGAATGCCATCAACGACCTGCAAGGCGTGGAGAGTAAGGCTGTCTGGTGAGTGACAGGGGCTTGGTGACCACTCCAGTCCTAGAGAAATGTGAGATCTCCGCCATCGTGATGCTGGGGATTATTGTTTAATCTCTGATGCCTCACTCACTTCCGGTAGAATCCAAGAAGACTTGCTGTGAAACCCCTGGAATTTCTTAAGCCCGAGAGTGATAAAGATGTCTTTTGTTATGTTAACGAGATGACATTTGGAAGGCCCTGGATCACCTAAAGATGGGGGCTGGTCAGGAGAAACTAACCAAGTGATTACAGAGTTGCGACTTTCAGTCCCACCCCCCTGATCGCTGGGGAGGGGAGGGGGGCTGGAGGTTGACTCAGTCAGCAATGGCCAATGAGTCGATCAATCACGCCTGGGTACTGAAGCCTGCATAACCCCCCCCCCCGCCCCCAACAAAAGGCCATTTGGAGAGCTTCCGGGTTGCTGAGCAAGTGGAGATGGGGGGACAGTGGCACGCCTGGAGAGGGCATGGAAGCTCCTTGTCCTTTCCCCAGCCCTCACCCCTCTGCATCTCTTTCATCGGGCTCTTCTCGAATTATATACTTTTATAATAAACCAGCGATACAGTAAGTGAAATGTTTCTCCAAGTTCTGTGAGCCACTCTGGCAAATTAGTCGAACCCAAGGAGGGGGGTCATTGGAACCTCCAGTCTACACCCCGTTAGTCAGAAGCACAGATGACAACTTGGACTTGTCTGAAGTCGGTGGGAGGAGGGGGCGGGGTAGCAGTCTTGTAGGACTGAGCCCTTAACCCGTGGAATCTGATGTCGAGGCAGTGTCAGAACCGAGTTGAATGATAGGACGCCCAGGTGGTGTGCCGACCATCGCTTGTTGTTGGTGTAAGAACCCCCGCACCCCCCACAAATTGGAATTGGGATCTGGACACTCTTACTCGTCAATAGTCTATATCGATGATTGGGGCAAGAACTGGGTCCCGATCGATTAGCCAACCAAGTATGATCTCCCTTGGATTCCCTGAACGTTTTGGTGTTTTGTTTTGTTTTTTAAGATTGGTTTAAAAGTAATCTCTAAATCCAACGTGGGGCTCCAACTCACAATCCCAAGATCAAGAGTCGCGTGCTCTGAACTGAGCCAGCAAGGCACCCTTCTCTGGAGATTTTTTAAATAAGCTTGGATAGGCCCTCCCACTGGCATTTGGCTGTCCCTACCCACAGTTATCCCTCCTGATCTGGGTCTGTAGCCCTGGCCACCTTGTTCTGAAGAGCTGTCAGCAAGAAGGGAGTTGAAATGGGGATTTAGGAAGCCAGCCTAACTATACTGCCCTGATCTCTTGTACTGATGGTGTGGTTTCTTTCTTTCTTCCTTCCTTCCTTTTTTCTTTCTTTCTTTCTTCTCTTTCTTTCTTTCGTTCTTTCTTTCATTCTTTCGTTCTTTCTTTCGTTCTTTCTTTCTTATTTCTCTTTCTTTCTTTCTTAATATATAAAGATATAACTGACATGTCATGATATTAGTTTCAGGTGTATAACTTAATGATTCGATACATGTATATATGTACATATGGGGAAATGATCACCACAATAAATCTAGGTAACATCCATCACCACACATAGCTACACAACTTCTTGTGATGAGAACTTTTAAGATCTACTCTCGTGGCAACTTTTTTTTATTTTACTTTTTTAAAAAAATGTTTATTTTTGAGAGAGAGAAAGCGAGAGAGTGCAAACAGGGGAAGGGCAGAGAGTGGGGGAGGCAGAGAATCCCAAGCAGGCTCCCAGCTGTCAGCACAGAGCCCGACGCAGGGCTTGAACCCACTAGCCTTGAGATTGTAACCTGAGCTGAAACCAAAAGTTGGATGCTTAACCGACTGAGCCACCCAAGCGCCCCTTAAAATGTTACTTTTAAGTAATCTCTGCACCCCGTGTGGGGCTCGAACCCACAACCCCCAGATCAAGAGTCACATGATCCCCTGACTAAGCTGGCCAGATGCCCCTCCTAGCAACTCTCAAGTATAAAGTACAGTATTATTAACTATAGTCACCATGCTGTATATTACATCCCCAGGACTTATTCATTTTATAACTGGAAGTTTGTACATTTTGACTCCTTTCACCCATTTTGTCCACTCCCCACCTCTGGCAACCACCAATCTGTTCTCTGCATGTCTAAGCTTGGGGTTTTGTTCCTTTGGTTGTGCTTTTTTTTTCTCTCTCTCTCTCTAGATTCCACATATAAGTGAGATCATACAGTATTTGTCTGTCTCTGACTTAGTTTACTTAGCAGAACACTTTCAAAGTCCATCGTGTTGTTGCAGAGGGAAGATTTCACTCTGTTTTATGGCTGACTCGTACGCCATTGTGTACATATACCACATTCCCTTTATTGATGGTGTGGTTTATGTTTACGCCTCATTTCAGCCAATAGGCTGGGCCTCCCAGTGACCACACTGCCGTGTGCAGTTCAGAAACGGGTTCTACCCAAACTCGTCAGCGTTTCTTAAATCCTTTTTCACTACTGATACAGGGTGTGTTTAAAAAAAATTTTTTTTTTAATGTTTATTTACTTTTGAGAGAGAGAGAGACAGAGCTTGAGTGGGAGAGGAAGAAAGAGAGGGAGACACAGAATCGGAAGCAGGCTCCAGGCTCTGAGCTGTCCGCACAGAGCCCGACACAGAACTCAAACCCATGAACCACGAGATCATGACCTGAGCAGAAGTCAGACACTTAACCGACTGAGCCACCCAGGTGTCCCCAGGGTGTTTTTATTTATTTATTTTTTTGTTTTATTTATTTCTGAGAGAGAGAGACAGCGTGAGCAGGGGAGGGGCAGAGAGAGAGGGAGACACAGAATCTGAAACAGGCTCCAGGATCTGAGCTGGAGGTCAGCACAGAGCCTGACGCGGGACTCGAACCCATGAGCCGTGAGATCGTGACCTGAGCTGAAGTTGGACACTCAACCAACTGAGCCACCCAGACACCCCTGTATGTTTTTAAAAGTTAGGTTCAGAGGTGCCTGGGTGGCTCAGTCAGTTGAGTGTCCGACTTCGGCTCAGGTCACGATCTGACGGTTCATGGGTTCGAGTCCCGCGTCGGGCTCTGTGCTGACCTCCAGCTCAGATCCTGGAGCCTGTTTCAGATTCTGTATCTCCTTCTCTCTGAACCTCCCTTGCTCACGCTGTCTCTCTCTCTCTCAGAAATAAATAAAACATTAAAAAAATTTTTTTAAAGTTAGGTTCGGGGTGCCTGGGTGGCTCGGTCAGTTAAGTGTTTGACTTTGGCTCAGGTCATAATCTTATAGTTCGTGAGTTCGAGCCCCACATCAGGCTCTCTGCTGTCAGCATGGAGCCTGCTTTGGATCCTCTGTCCCCCTGTCTCTCTGCCCCTCTCCAATTTGCACTCTCTCTCCCTCTCAAAACTAAATACACTTAAAAATAATAAAAGGGGCACCTGGGTGGCTCAGTCGATTAAGCGTCCAACTTCGGCTCAGGTCATGATCTTGTGGTTTGTGAGTTCGAGCCCTGCCATCAGGCTCTGTGCTAACAGCTCAGAGCCTGGAGCCTGCTTCGAATTCTGTGTCTCCCTCTCTCTCTGCCCCTTGCCTGCTGGCTCTCTCTCTTTCTCAGAAATAAATAAGCATTAATAAATAAATAAATAAATGAATGAATAAATAAATAAATAATAAAAACAAAAGTTGGGTTCATTTGGTGAGGTAATTTCCTATCAGATATAGAAGGGCTAAGGAACATTCAATGAGAATCTCTGCCCCTCCATTCTGCCAGTCTCAATTTTCATAGCATTCAGCACCTAAGACCTGCTGGAATAATTAACCTGTTTAATTCCCAGAGCAGTACCAACTGCTTTCTGTTAGAAGACATAGAAACCCCCCCACCCCCCACCCCGGAACTGGCTTCAATACCAATTGGGAGATATATTGGTTCCTATGACCTTAGAGTCCAGAGATAGATCTGGCTTCAGGCAAGTCTTGATCGAGCAATGTTGTATTATCTTCTATGCCCTAGTACCTCCCCGCTTCACTGTGCTGGTTCCCAAGGCAGAGGTTCCCTCCTCGGCTTTGCTTCCTGAGGCAGACACTATTGATGCCCATTCCTTCTCCCCTCAACCTGAGTTCACTGCAGCTGCTGGAGACGGTTCCCTGGGCTGTCACAACTTCCTTTCTTCCAGCATCCATGTATCTCTGAAACTCTTCCTGGATACCTTCTTCTGCCACAGGAGGATTGGGAATTGATGCTCAGGAGACATCTCTTCTCCCTGCGGCTACATATGTGGCCTGCATTGTATTTCCATCGAACAGTATGGCTATAGATTCTATAGAACTCCAGACTGTGCACCAAATCTGTCCAGCCACTTGTTTTTGTCAGTAAAGTTTTGTTGGGAACCCGGCCACACCCCTTCGCTTATATATTGTCTGTGGCTGCTTTCACTGCCCACAAAGCCCAAAATAGTTCTTCTCTGACCCTTTACAGAAAAAGATTGCCAATCTCTGATAGAGAATATTGACCCTAGGAATATTTCTAGGCAGCAAAAAAACAAAAAAAAAAAAAACAAATACTGGCTGTCCATAAAGAACAAAAGTTTCATTATTTTTTGGAATAGATGAAAAATATGTATTCCATATGTGTGTACGCACATCATATGTGACTTACGTGACTATCGTGTGTGGGTGTATCTCTTGGACCAGGACGCTGAAGTCCTTGCTTCCAAGAGATGACTGACCCCATGTCAACTGTGGCCAAAATGAGAAGCGTTTCTAACAAGCTGTTAACAACTTGCCGGAGAAGTATGAAAAATATTCTTATTAGACTCAGAATGGCAAAGTCACACAGCTTGTAGGTAATATAGCCTGGTCCCCAGTCTTTTTATTTTTTTAATGTTTATTCATTTATTTAGAGACAGTATGTGTAAGCAGGGAAGGGGCAGAGAGAGCGAATCCCAAGCAGGGTCCGTGCTGTCAGTGCAGAGCCGGACATGGGGCTAAACCCATGAACCAGGAGATCATGACCTGAGTGGAAATCAAGAGCCCCAAGCATAACAGCTTGAGCCACTGAAGCACTCCTCTATCTTAAACCTCCAAAAGAAAAAAATGTTACCAAATAAAGTCAAGCTGATATAATGTAGCTAATTACTCTGGTCTGTCCAGAACACATTCTCCTACCCCTTCTTCTGATACTCCCCTCCCCTTCGGTGAACAACTTCAGCTGTGGGGCCTCTGGCATGGCTAACAGTCATGACATACCTACCGTCGCCGAAGGAAGCTAGACAGAAGCTAGGCTAGACCGAGTCTACTTCCACACACAGCGAGTGGCTCAAGGGGTAGGCATGTGACCAAAGCCTGGCCAATTGGAGACCTTTCCCAGAATTTTCTAAAAAGGAAGTGGAAGGGTGCCTGGATGGCTCAGTGGGTTAAGTGTGGGCCTCATGATTTTGTCTCAGGTCATGATCCCACTGTATGTGAGATGGGGCCCCACATTGGGCTCTGCACTGACAACATGGAGCCTGTTTGGGATTCTCTTTCTTTCTCCCTCTCTCTGCCCATCTGCCACTGGCCTCTCTCTCTTTCTCTCTCTCTTTGAAAATAAATATTTTATTTATT